GGCAAGGTCACTGAGATACTGACCACTGTGGAGAAGGAGTAGGAAGGGGCCCCTGGGATACTGACCACTGTGGGGGAGCGGTAGGAAGGAGGCCCCGGAGCAAGTGCTGTACACTTGAAAGTCAGGTGCACGGGCTGTGGCAGAGTCTTCCTCTGCTGGGCATCGTTACTGGGGTACAAAGTAGGTGCAGAGACAGCGCATGCAGGCTAAGCTCTGACTCCCTAGGAAGAACCCCCTTAGAAGCTCGTTCAGGGCTTTGCCTGGTTGGGATCGTGGTGAGGCACCCACGGAGCCCCTGCGGTTCAGCACTCAGGCTTTCCCTCTGTGCAGACAGGTGGGAGACACTCCAAGTGCCTGTTGCATGTAACGTGTTTGCCAAAGGCATCGAGCCAAGCGTGTGTGGTGCACATCCCTGGGGCGGGGAAGGTAACAGGGCAGTCGGACACTCAGGGTGTGTGGACTCCCTGGTCTCCTCTTCCTCTAAGCCGGGGAATTACACGGGGCAGGGGTGAAAAGGAGCTGCTGGTGGCTGGCGGTCAGTCCTTGGGTGTCTGTGCACTCTGGAGAAAAGATGTGTCATCTGTGAAACCTCCTGTGCAGACCCGGGAGCGTCACCCGTCCGTCCCCTGCCAGTTGGCCCTTGGGAACCGGGTCTTGGTAAACACCGCCTGACACAATGCGTGGACCGGCAGCACGGGAATGGGCCCCTCGCATCTGGCCCCCGTGAGAACACGGGTCCCCTTGGCAGTCCACTTCCCTAAATTCAACTGAAACGGTCCGTAAGCTCCACACACGCGAAGACGTGTTTAAAGCCAACTCCACATCCCAGACCAGAGCCATCACTATTTTGTGACCTGGGGGGGGAAGGGGGAAGACAAAGCATTCTGCTGTTCTTCAAAAGCGCGGCACATGCTGGTTGCGGAAACTTTAAAGCAGAGGAGGAACCTCAGATTTCCTCAGGACGCAATTCCCACCAAGCCTTCCACGCCTCCGCCTGGGTCCCAAGCTCCCACGCCCTGCACCGCCCACTCAGCTCAGGCCTCAGGGTTCCAGACACATGGCTGCGCGCATCAGCACTGTGTGAACCTTGTCTGGGGAGCGAGAGAAGGGGCGGACGGAGAGGCAGACAATCTCAAGCCGAGTCCACAGTGAGCGCAGAGCCCACTGGGGCTGGATCTCACGACCCTGAGGTCAGGACTGGAGCCGAAACCAAGAGTCGGGAGGCTCAACCGACTGACCGGGAGAATCGTGATCACACACGAGCCCCACCATGTGCGCACCTTTCCTAAGTGCTAGCGGCCAGCCGTGGAAGCAGGTCCAGCATCCTCGGCCCAGAGTGCTGCATGCTGCCCAGTCCCACAGGTGGCCACGCACAGACCCGGCCCAGCAGCCCGCCTTCCGGCCTCTGGGGAAAACTGGACATCGGATCTCCACTCTGAACCTCCACTCCCTGTGCCCCCTGCCTTCTCCTCGCTCAATTCAGTGCCTCCCCCAAGTCGCAGGCCCCCTTCCTGCCCAACCTCTCTCCCAGTTCACAGAAACCACCTCTCCATGCTCGGAACACCTGAGGAACGTAATCCCCCGGGGTGCATGCCTCTGGGGCCTACTTTACAGAAATATGTCCTTTCCAAGGCATCCAAGTGGCCCTGCTCCAGCAGGGCTGACTTGCCAACATCTGCATTCCCAAGAGGGTTCCCACGACGTCACGGCGTCACAAAATACAAGAATTCACCTGTGAGTGGTGCTCGGCCTCAGCGCCGAAACCTATTTACCGACAAGCAGGCAGCTCGCTGAATGAGACCTTGGCCGTCCAGGGGGAGTACGGATGCCATCGTGGGGAGGGAAACCACTGTCCCTACAGGAAGAACCCTTCTGAGCGCTGGCCCTTCTCACAGATCTCGAGGCCTCTGTTAAAACGAGTGATTCGGGCAAAACTGCCCCCAGCACTAAGGCTCTGCGGTGCAGTGGGAAAGTGACTGACCAGAGCTCAAGGGATGGTCCGGGGGCCCTGCAAGGTGCAGACAAGCCTTCCTGTGGGGTTCCCTAGAGGGTCTAAGCCAGGTGGTGTCTAGGGTGGCCTTTGGGCCCGGTTCCCACTCTCCGTGCAGACTTACTTTCTGGGAAAGGTCGTCGGGTCCGCTGGAACAGGCCAGAAAAACACCAGTAATTGAGAGCCAAATGAGCTTTCCTGCAGGGAGGAGCACCTCGCAATCTGCCCTTAGCGGCTGGTCCGTTGGGGTTGGGAAGCTATCAAACGAGTGATACTACCATACGGTTCGTGTTGCTGAGGGGACACTAGCTCCAACGGAAACGTCTTCAATGTCATAAACAGGTTCAGATGCAACGTTAACATTTCCGGCTTCAGGAGTATTGCAGGTCCATCGTATGCACCAGCCGCCACACTTGCCGCAACACCCGGAGCCAACATTTTGTGACTTCGAACCACACAGGATTACGCACCAGAGACCAACCTCTTTTTTGGTACATGGCTGGCTGACTGCAACTACTGTAGACAATTTAAGGAGAAAACCAGACAAGTGAAGGATAAAACCTCTAGGTTCATTACTTAAGCCGAGAAGAAACTGCGAAGTGGGCACCCAAGACCAAAACTCGGAAAGACTTGAAAGGAACTCCAAAAATTCCCACCCGAGGACCAGCATGGGGCTCCGGCAATGTCAGAATGTTTCAGCACATAGGGCTTCGTTTGGGGGAAAAACCGCGCAAATGTGAGTGTTTTCACGTGTGACGCTCCCCGCACCCCTGAGCCCCAGGTCGCTATGCACCCGACTTAGCAGAAGTGGAGCGTAACTTACTACTCGCGTCCCCGCGGATCTCCGAGTCCCTCGCACGGGTGGCCCGGTCCTGGGACTAGCGGCGGCTCCCAGCGGGAGCGCGGTGGACGCGGTGGACGCGGGGGCCGGGCTGGGCGCCCCCCGGCTATCGAACACCGCGGGCTTGCAGACGGGGGCTGCGGCTGCTAGCGGGGGCCCGGGCTGCCCTGCGTCCCCACCGTCCGTCTCCGTCCCCCCGGGCATCTTGATCCTCTGCAGACAGTCCTGGAGCATCGTCTGCGTGCTGGACTCGCTGAGCCAGCACAGGAACAGCTCGTCCACCTTCATCTTGAGGACGGGCTGCAGGACTTTGCCGGGCGGCATCTCCAAAGCGTGGACCCTCCTTCCCGAAGAGCCCCTTCCTCCTGCACGCCTGCCTGGCGCCAGGAACCCACGTCAGGCCTGAATGGACGTGGGCGGAGCAGACGACGGCTGCGGGCGGGGGTCGCGGGCCCCGGGTCCAGGGGTCTGGGGGGTCACGGGCCCAGGGTCCCCAGGAGGCGGGGTCGCGGGCCTGGCGCCCGGGTCCTAGGGAAGGCTGGGGTGGCGGGCCCGGGGCCCGGGTCCTGGGTCCTGGGCAGGCGGGGGTCGCGGCCCGGAGCCCGGGGTCCTGAGGAAGGCTGGGGTGGCGGGTCTGGAGCCCGGGTCCCGGGGTCCTGGGGTCCCGGGAAGGCGAGGGGTCTCGGGCCTGAAGCCCGAGTCCTGGGGTCCCGGGAGGCGGGGCTCGCGGGCCCGGGGCCCGAGGTCCCGGGAGCAGGCGGCGGCCCGGCCCAGCCCGACGAGGGGGCGAGGGGGCGAGGGGGCGAGGGGGCGAGGGGGCGGGCAGTGCCCGGCCCGCCGGAGGTCCGGGCTGCGGGCGGCGCCGGCGTCTCGGGGGCTGCGCGGACGCCCGGGCCCGGCGAATGGTCGGCAGGAGCGGCGCGAGGCCCGCGCAGCTCCGGGCAGCTTCAAAACGGGCGCGCCGGCCGCCTTCCCAAACAAGGTCGCCTACGCCGTGCGTCACCGCGACGCGTGGCGTCATCACGGCGGCCACGGGCGCCGCACGCCAGCACGCACGCCTCCCTGGCTTCGGGCGCAGCGGCCTGCGGAGTCCTTGGCCGGGGGGTGGGCTTTGATGCAAGCGGGGGGCGTTTAGAGGCTCGGTGGGGACGGGGTGGGGACGGGGTGGGGGCCGCCCCACACGAGGTCTTCCTGATTTTTGGCTTTTTAGGGGTGCAGCCCACGCGCGCGAGGCGACCTTGAAGGCCGGGGAGGTGGGAGCAGGCGCCGCGCCTGCGTGCTCACGGGGGGGTGGGGGTTAGGCCTGGCAACTTGAGCATGCGCAGTGCGTGCCAGCCGAGAGCGCGCAGGGAGTCTGGTGGTTCGGAGGGGGCGGGGGCGGGCATGCGCAGTGCGTGCCCGTCGGGAGCGAGCCGGAGGCCCGGCCGTGGCTAGCTGGTGGGCATGCGCAGTGCGTGCCGCACGGGGACGAGCGTGCGCGCGGCGGAGGTCGGAGCAAGCGCGAACCTAGGCAGGCAGTTTCTACGTTAAAAGGGCAACTTCAGATCGTGAAAGGCCCCGTTTACGTTAATTTTGTTTATCAAGCGGTAATGATGCCTTGGACGCGAGCAGCTCTTTTAAACGTCAGCTCTTTCGCATGAGGACGAACTGCGTTTGCTGCAGAAATAATAAATCTATTGTGTTGGAGGTGCAATTAATTACCTGAATGACCTTTTGCCCCCCCCCCCCCCCCCCCCCCGCAGGCTTGAACCCTCCTCTTTAATAATACACAGTGCACACATGCCCCCTTTTTGTTTTTGGTTTTGGGGTTTTTTTTTTTTTTTTTTTTTGGTAAAGACGTTTTCTTCTCCCTAACATGATTTTGTAAAATAGTTTTCGCTTGGGTTCGCCCCGTTTTCCGGGGTAATTTCAAGGCTTCAGGAGCTGGGTTCCACTCATCAGTAGAAACATAGCGGACTCACTGAGTGTCCGGTTTTGTGTGTAATGATTTCCAACTGTCTGTGTTTCGCAACTGCAGCTGAAACTCCGTGTGCACCCGCTCGTGGGAGCGCCCTAATGCAGGAATCCCGCGAAGTTATTTCTGTTAATTGGGAAGCAAATGCTTGTGTGGGATGCTGTCGTTTCTGGACAGAAGTAAGTATTCATACAGATCGCCCTTTGGGTTTATCACATACAGACATCTTGTCAAGGAACAGACGTGCCTTTCACCCCGGGTTTTTAAACGAGCTGTCGCTCACTGCTCCCTTCATCGCTGTGGTTTTGGCAAGGAAAGGACTTTTTTTGAGCCCCTGCACAAAACGGCTTTATAAGTCCGGGGGCCGGTGGTGAGACCCAAGGTAGTACTGTACAGCTTCCAAGCGGACAGCAATAAGGTCCAGGACAGGAACAGAATGCACCTTCAGTCTGTGCTGGCCCGCGAAGACCCTGTCCTGCGAGGACAAAGAGGTGCTGTGGGACCCCGAGGCCCCCCGGAGTCAGCCCTCTGCGGGGCTCGCCCCGAAACAGGAGCACCATCTGCTGATGACACAGAGGACGCTCTGGTTCTGCCTGACTTCCAGTGGGGTGGCAGGAGGGCCCCCTCAGGACAGAGGGATGAGGGTGGGGAGGAGCCAGTGGAGAGGAAGATTCCCGAGGATTCTGTGGGGGGGAGGGGCGAGAAGCAGCAGAGTCGGCTTCCCTACTGTGTTATCCTGGGGAGCTTGCAGAGGAAGGCGCTGAGGTGGTTGGAGGGGAGGGTGGCCTCTTCCTTTGCCCACCCAAACCCAGTTCTCTCTGTTCGCTGCAGTCCGCCCGGCCCCTCAGAGCTGGTCCACACACCCCCCAGCTTCACCTCCATCAGGGGCTGGCTGCTCAGAAAGGCAAACCCATCACTGCACAACAAAACAACAATGTGTCTTTCTGCAGAGTCCCAGGTAGTTGATGGCCCACGCATACTTGGGGAAGGAAGACGCCCCAAAGACAAGTGCCTATGAGGTCCGATCTCACGGGTCCCAGGCTGATCCTAAGCTGCAAGTACACACACTGGAAATCAGAGTGATCAAGTTTATATCTGCCAAGTACATTCATCTAAAACGAGTTGGTTTTTCTTCTTCTTCTTTTTTTTTTTTTTTAAAGATTTTATTTATTTGACAGAGAGAGACACAGCGAGAGAGGGAACACAAGCAGGGGGAGTGGGAGAGGGAGAAGGAGGTTTCCCGCTGAGCGGGGAGCCCGATGTGGGGCTCGATCCCAGGACCCTGGGATCATGACCTGAGCCGAAGGCAGATGCTTAACGACTGAGCCACCCAGGCGCCCCAGTTGGTTTTTCTTCTTTTTAAAAAATCTCTGTTTCTATCATTAGAACGAACTTCTGGGTGCCTGGGTGGCTCACTTGGTTGAGCGGCCAACTCTTGATTTCGGCTCAGGTCATGATCTCAGGGTCATGAGATCGAATCCTGAGTTGGACTGGTGCTCAGCGGGGAGTCTGCTTTAGATTCTCTCTCTGCTCCTCCCACTCGTGCCCTATCTCTCTAAAATAAATAAGTAAATCTTAACAAAAAAACGAACCCCAGAAGAGCCAGAAATGTGCCTGTGTTTGGTTTCAACTGATTTCCTTCCAAGAAGCTAACCAGAAGCTTAATGACATTCCTTGTGTCAGGTCTTGAGTCTAGATACTATTTATGAATTCTGCCTCTCTGTCTCTTCTCTTCCTGTTTTATTTGCTTCACTTTGCTGCTGACTTCCTTTCCAACATTTGGTTTTGTTTGCTGCCCCGTGGCACGTCCTTTCATACAATTTTGAAGTGTGAGAATTGGGTCTTTTCCTGTGCCCCTCGAACACTCTGTAGCAGTGGGGTGGGTGAGTGGACCGGGCTGGTGGGCCAAAGGGCGCATTCCACGACTGGGATGTTTCATGTCGCATTATTGTCGTGGGATCGGTTCCTTCTTGTGAAGCGGTCACCCCTGCTCCCCCTTCCCTCCAGGACTCAGCCCACGACCCAGCGTCACTGCCTGCCCTTGATTAAAATGGTTTTCCATGACAGTTTTCCAGCGACAGAACCACAGATGAAATGGCCTTGGAAGACTTTTTTTTCAGCAAAGACGGTATCATGGTCATTCCCTGGGTGCTATGCTATTCCTGTTGCCAGGACAAAAAGTGTAGAAAACATCCATTAAAACTTTCCAATCTAAGCAGTGGTGTTTTAGGTAAAATGCCATACGGACCTGGTAATTAAGAAAAATAATAATTTATTTTGTTAGCACCCGTCTTAATAAGCTTTCAAAGAATATAAGTGTTGATCAAAACAACAAAAGGAAACGAATTGATAACAGCCCTAACCAAACTAAAGAGAACAGAAAAACCGTGCTTAAAAAAAAAAAAGTTGTTCAGATTTGCCCTTTTCTCCAAAGAGTTTTACAGAGGTTATGCACGTGTGCATTTTTTTTCTCTCAGATGTCCGTGTATTTTCCTGATTCAAGATCCCAGTTTTAAGCAGTGACGGGGCGGCGGGGGGGGGCGGCTCACAGACAGTGAGGCTGTGTCTCCACGGTCCTGCAGATGAGAGTCGGCTGCTGAATGATGTGTTTCTGTGCAGCTCCCGCTGGGATGCTTGGGAAGCTTTCACTTCCTGCTATCAACTCGCCTGGCTCCATCAGTCCTTTCTTAATTTATTTACGATGTATTTATTATGCTGGAATGTGGCGTAATTAAGCTGCCGCCTATTGGGTCCTCTGAGTGTGTACTACAAGCCTGAGGACAGAGATAAATAAAAGATGGTTCACAATCTCAAAGATGTCCTAGTCAAATGGGGTGGGAGCAGGGATTTATAGAATTAGATAATTCAATGCACAATTATGCGTCACAACGTGGAAGTGTGAGGAGAGAAAGGAGAAATATGCAGGGAGAACTGGCTGAGGGAGGGACCATCAGCCTCACAGAGGGCGCTCAATAAGTGGACATGTTCAGGACAATTTATACTGGAAAGCAGAATGTACTGAAGGAACACACAAGAAAAGGAGCTTCAAAGGCCTCCTGAGGGACTTCTGTACCAGGCAGACACGTTCGGACTTTCTCCTGCACAAAAAATTGGAATCAGGAGGCTGGACAAATAGAGATCCACGTTACCTTGTGGCGAAGCAGTTGCTACAATGTGGCTTGCAATAACCTGGAAGGTGGGAAGTGTGCCTGGTTCCCCTGTGGCGTTGGGAAAGGGTAGGAAAACACAGCTGCAGGCTGGTTGTTTCTCTCTGCATTTGATCAATAACAACACAAACGGTAGAAGTTTAGAGAAGACTGGGCCAGCTTGCAATCAGAATTTTAGAGAGGATACGGACAGCCCCCAAAACTGCAGGGTTGAAAAAGGAATCGGGTTTTCACCCAATCAGAAGTGTGTGCATTACAATACCGCCTTGGGGGACGGGGGAGACCCAACGCAGGTTTAATCCCCTTTGTGAAAACCCCTGAAAGAATGTAGGTGCACAGACGGGCTCCCAGAAAGAGCCCCGGGTCCCTGTGACCAAGTTTAGGGAGAAGAGCCAGCGCGGATCGGCCAACTTCTTGCCACGGTATAGATACTCTAACCAGAGAGTTTGGGGATGGTTGTTACGCACTGGCAGCTGACTGATACGTACAGTTGGAGCCATTGAATCAAGCTGGGGATTGAAACGATCAAATACGTCTGAGGCATTTGAGGCGCTTCGCTCTGGCGGGGAGGAAGAAGATCGGTTATAGACATAGGAACCCACACAGCCGTTAGGGGGCTGTTGGGGCTTTATACTGTGTGT